ACAATAAGCACATAAAAATGGGAATGAATAGAGATTATCTATTTTTATGTTAAGAATAACTCACAGTATTAATGAATCCATTTTTTGTAGCCCTTGAGATTTTCTTCCTCTTTTTTGGCTGACTGGACAGCAGCTGGTTTTGGAACTGTTTCTAGCCAGCAGTGTAAGCAGGTGCGTTTCCTTCCCTCCTGACAGCATCACAATCCTGTTTAACTGGCAGGAGGTACCAAGAAACCTGTACAAAAACCTCAATATGTAAATAAAACGTGACCTGAAACATCATGCTGGAGCCATGAGCATCCAACCCTGTCCAAGTGGGGACTATGGGATATACATATTGGCTGTTGTGGGTTCCAAGGTGAAGTGATGCAGAGGAGCAGCACAGCAGCCTTCCCTGCTGACCAACCCAAGTACAAATCTCAGGGCAGATTGCTTTCACAACTCAAGCAGGGACTCTCCACTGATTCTTTTCCATTGATGCCACCAGAATACAATGCAAAAGCTGTACAGGAAGTTGTTAGAAAACATAATATTTGGTAAGCACCATGTTCTTGAGAGATGGTAATACAGTGAAAGACAGCAATTGATGCTAATCCTGACAAAACAACCAACTTCCCTGACACCCAGATGAATGTAACTCGGTTTTAAAATGAGTAGCTTTACAAGACATTAACCTAAATTAATCTCCCAGGAAAGTTACACACAGAGAAAGAAAAAGAAGGGTAGTTAGACAAAAATGTTTGTAATTTATACATTGTAATCCATAGTTTTGCAAGAAGGTTTGTAGACATATAGATAGTGCTGCATTTAACTGGGTGGGGTGGGGTGGTTGTTTTGGGTTTGTTTGGGGTTTTACCTTTCTTTCTTTGAGAAACAAGAGAAACAGCTAGGAGAGGAGTAGCTAAAATACTCTGTGTCTGCACACCTGCAGAGTGCAGGTTAAGACAGCTAAATGCCAAGACCCTAGAAGCTGCCCAAGAGAGGCGTGGTGGCTATTAGACATGTTTGGGAGCATCTGTGGGAAACCTTCACTGTGGAAAAGCCAGCTGGCAGGTCACACCCCACAGTACACACCTTCTTCTGTGCTTAAAGAGAACTGAGCCAAGCTGTCTCTGCATCCACATACCACCAGAAATTCTTTTGGAGAAGATGGGAAATTTATAAATGTGGGAGTAGATAGCTCTGTAAGCTCAGAGATTTGCCTCCACAAGACTAAGAGATCTGCTGTTGACAGCACTTGGGCCTGTTAAGATGTAGTGAATGCTGGACTAATTTCACTTAGCAGCCAAGCTTTTCATTAGCACAAAGCCAGGCTTACCATGATGTGTGTGGACCTGGTAGGAAAACTGGAAGGGGAATGACTGTTAGTTCTGGAAGCTATAAAAGCCTGGGGAATTTACTGTAACCCGCTTTAAGTAGGAATTTTGTCTGTGTAAAGGGAACAGTGACAAAACCAAGTTAGGACTTGTGCAGTCTCATCCACCTCAGCTCAAAAATGTTTTCCATTTATAAAAACACCAAAAGCTCAAATACATCTCTGACTTTGTGAAGACAAAAGAACAATCAAAAGAAAGTCACAAACCAAGACGAAAGTTTGATACTCTGTGTAGATAAACCTCCATAAACTCTAGGTAGTGAAATATGTGAAGCTATATAAAAAATTATAAAAATGCCTTGCACCAAAACCACTGAGTGCTGTAGCTGTAAGATGTCCAGTTTTCACCTTTAATATGCCCAGTTTCCATGGCTTGACTCCCATATGGATTCGGGACCATTTTCTCTGCTGTTGTTAACATTCTTTTTAGTTCATGAGCAGCATCTCAACCCAGCTGGGTTCAGAATAAGTATCCCAGCAAACATCACCCAGCAGTGACTTTGATGAGGTTCACTGCTCTTACTGGTAACAGCTACAGGAAAAGCTGCAACTCTGGGATTTAAGAACTTCTACAATTGAATTTCACTCAACAAACTATGTCAGTGCCATGAACAAAAACCCACCTTTGAAAGCTCTAAATTTAGTTGCTTATATGAAATCACCACTGGTCTTTTTCCTGTGTATGACTAAAGACGGGGGATGTACAATGTGAGTGTACATGTTGAGTGAGTGGTTCCGTTGAACATGTCAAACGGGGAAGAGTGGGTGGAAACTTTTTATATCCCTGTGGTAACTGATTGGGTGATCACAAGGAGAGGGACTGCGTTCACCCAGTAGTGGTGATGCATAGGTGTGTGATTTAATCTAGGTCTCTAAAATCCTTCAAAAGTCAATGAGAAGAATACGAGAAGAAGGGTTGCCTTTTGAAGGTTTTCATGTAAGAATGGGATGAAACTGCCTGCTGGAGCTGCCAAGTTGTTTTCACTGTCTGTAGATAAAGATAGACTAGAGCTGCGTTCAGTATGTATGAACTTGATAGTTCATGAATAACAAGAAATTAAAGCAGAGAGTTCCCTTGTGTGACTATTTATTTACGTTTTTTTAAATACTATTTCTGAGGTTGGATACATCAAGTTATTTAAAAGTATATTTAAATGTAATATGCATGACATAAATACAACCTCTACTTTAGAGAATGACCTAAGATGAACTGACAACCTTCACTTCCAGAAAAAGAAAGGTTGAAATCCATGGGGAAGTTTGCCCCCATGGCTAGGAAAGGGGGAACTGTTAGTTCCTATCTACAGTATCTAGAACACTATACCCAAAAAGATGTTACTACTCCCCAAACAAGAATATATGAAGAAAATCAAGAAATACTTCAAGGTAAGGGAAATGTAATTCATTGAGAAGGCTCAGGAGTGAAGGATACCCATCAGCCTCTGTAATTCCACTGGGGGCCCATCACTCTTTGTGCAAACTGTAGTCTCATACTATGTTCTTACACAGAACAGAAGATAACATAGCTAATGGTATTTTGCCTTGTGAATATGAAAATGGTCAAAACCCAATCCATGAGTGACAATTCCCCTCTTTGTTGCCTAGAGAGGGATCAGAAAATGCTGCTCGCTAAACCAGGTGCTGTTTTGATGCTGCATCTTTACCTCAGTATTAACTGACCCTGCTTCCCAAGGCAAGCCTCTAATTGCTGTGTGACAGTAATTCCTAGTGACTGACTCTAATTTCTCACCTCTTGAAGTTGCACTTTCTTGTTTCCTCAAACATTCTTTTGTTCTTGATGCCTCTATGTTCCCCAGACTGTGTGGTCTCTCCTTTATTTCACACCAGCAGCTGCTTTGGCATTCTGCATCTTCTGTTTCAGACACATGAGCAGCTCCGCACAGTTGTGTTGTGAATATTACGGCTTCAAACCCTGAAAGACTTTCATGTCCTAAAATGTTCTTGTTACAGATTTTATCCTGCCATCTGATGTGCAATATGGCCCACAGATGGTACAGATGAAACCACCCTTCAAGCTGTAAATGTTGATAGTCAAAATAGAAAGTTAAAAGAAAACATGTAGTGAATGTTTCTTCCTTTTCAAAAAAGCAAGCAAAAAATAAGTCTGAATAGGAAAAGAGCTACTGCATTAAAGCTACCAGAATAATTCTCACTTATTCAGTAGATACCACTAAGTAAATTGAAACAGTTTGAAATGTCAAGGGAAATCTAGACTGCAATTACTGGGATCAATTTAGATATAATTAAGTAATCTAGGTTAGAATGATCATATGCTGTAGCAGGTATTCTACAGGAGCCTTGATATGCTTTCAAATAGCTAATGAACTTTTAACAGTAATAATAAAATCACTCTCTAAATCTGTCCAGGGTCATATGACAACATTATCACAAGGGACTGACTCTGTTATTGCTTAATTCAGTTCTATTTTGCCAAGTATCAACAGCATAGTTGACATACACAGAGTACAAGCAGACATACTAGAATGGCAGCCTTAACTCTTTTACAGCTATCTACTTCCAAGTTTTTGGAAAAATTAAATTAATGACTTTGAACAGGCAAAGTGGCAAAGCTTTAGGACTTGATCCTAAAGCCTGGTCTGACTTGGCAAAGCCTCTGAAGTTCTGCTTCAGCTAAATTTTTAGCTATCTGCTGTTAAGGATCATATTACTATTAGCAACACTTAAAATACACAGACACCAAGATAAGCTAAGGGAGGACAATGTCTGCAGGTAAATCCACAGCTGAAACCCAGCTCTACACAATTCAAGTATGTGAATAGACCTGTCCAAACCAACAGATTTAGCTATTCACATAAAAAAAAATTATTTCAGGATCAACGTAGCCAATGAACAAATCATTTGCAAAGCTTTATTTGGGAGGTTCCTTGGTTTTGAGAACAACTAGACATGAAAATATACATAAGAACGTTCTGGAGCTCATGGCTACAGCCACGAGCTAAAAAGTACTGAACTACTACAAAGAAGTGACAAAGAAGTTGGTATGGACAGTTTTCTCTGTCACACTTTTTGATGGAAAGTCTCATTATCTCTTGTAATGAGATCACTGGGATGCTGGAACTTCAAATTACAACCTGCAAATACAAAGGGTGTCAGAAAAGTACTGGACGTCTTCTTTTTCTCAGTATCACACAGCAGTAGGTAACACCACTACCACTTTTTTGTCACTATCACTTTTTTTTCTCAGCTGTTGAGGCAGAAAGATAGGACATCACATAAGACTGAGCCCTATGGCCCTCAGAGAAGAAAAAGGCTTTTTGATACGTTCTCAAGAAACACACTCTTTGAAAAGCAAAAACTGAAAAGGAGAGGAGATGGTTCACATGGTAGCTTAATCAATTAAAGGTAGAAAGTGCAAAATCATTTTCCCCCAAGTTCAAGGGATATTTATCCTCAGGGTGCCCTGCTGTATTTCTAGTCTCCTTCCCATGCTCCTGTTAAGTCTGACCTTCATCTTTACATACACAAAGAATCCAAACCCACTACTTCCCCACGCAGACCAGGGCTCCATTTACAGCTTTAAATGTTCCAGATCCTTCTGTTTCCATCCCCTCCAATGGACTCAAATGCGCTCATCTCTATGCACCTTGCCTTGAGCCCTGTTCAATTTCATCTCCAGTGCAAGTACAGCCACAGCACCATCCTAGCATGCAAAGCCCCTTCAGCTTCTGTTTCATTGCTCTTGGACTAGCTCCGCTGCTAAGTAAACCCAAAACATAAAGTGGCCACTTCAAGTTTAAACCCTGGCCCCAGTGTTGACCCGTCCCTCGCAGGGCAGTGCAGATAGCCCTCCATCTTCAGCCTCCTGGATTTCTGACGCGTTTTTGACGCTTCCCAGCTCCGTCCATGGCTCCAACACCGTGCAGGGCCTCATCCCCCCCTCCCTGACTGGAAGCACCCCAGCTCCCTCTCTCTTCACAGAGATCCACCGCCATGCCCCACGCCCCACTGCCCCCCGCTGTCTCCTCCACTAACCCGCGTACACCGTTCACGTCCCACCACCTCTTCCCATGACACGACGCGGCTTCAGCCCCGCCGCTCTGGGGCTGGGACCTGCTCGGGGTGTACCGGACACCCCTCACCTGAGCGCGGCTCCGTCTTAGCCACCGCCCGCTGGCCCCCAGCCCCTCTCCGTCCCCGCTGTCAGAGCAGGAGGGGCGGCACCTGCGGGCCCGCCCCATTCTCCTCCCCTCGCGTCCCCTCCCCTCCTCCCGCCGGAGAGAGAGAGACGCGCAGACCCTGGGGGAGACGGTGACACCGAGGGCGCCGGGCGGGACTGCCGAGCGCAGTTGCTCGCTGCGAGGGGAGGGAGGTGGAACATACAATTAAAAACATACAATAAACAGTTTAAATTTAAAAGCAAAAGATCAAGGGAAGGGTGGAAAGGGAGCGCTTCAACTTCTCTCTCTCTACCCAGCAAGGTAAGGGAGCGGCGGGGGGCGCGGGGCGCGGGGCTTTACTTCGCCTTCTCGCCGGTGCCTGGGGAGGGCACAAAGGTAGCGGGGCCGGGGCGGCGCAGGGCGGAGCGGCGCCTCGCTCGCTGGGTCGCGCTCGGTGTCAGTCACCCCGCGGAGGGCAGCACAGCACCGGGGGTAGCGAGGGGCTGCGGTCGGTGTCACCGGCGGGGTGCTGGTGCCTTCCCCCGGCAGGGCTCCAAGCCCTTTGTTACCTTCGTTTCGGACCGGGGAACCGTGTGGGGTGGTACATGACCCCTCGCCGACGGGGCAAGGCGAACATGGGCGAGCCCCGAACGCGCTGTTACGGGAGCAAAGCAGCCCCTGTGCGCTGGCGGGCGGCAAGCAGCGGGGTCCCGGGGAGCTGGGGGTGATCGCGGGGGGTGCAGGTGGCTCTGCTGGAGAACGGGCGGGCGGGCGGCGAGCTCCCCTGTGCAGCGCTGCCATGCGGGCGGCCGCCGGCAGGGGGCTCGGCTGCCTCACCCTCCGCGCCCGGCTGTGGCTTCGCCTCGGGGAAGAACGGTGGCGGCCCGGGGCGGGGGTGCGTGTGCCTGGGGGGGCACTGCTGGAGGTGTGCCGGCCGGATTTGAGGAGGGGAGGGCAGAGCGCAGGGTCGTCTTACCGGGGGGAAAGGCGGCTGTGTGTTTCCCAGTCGGGGGTGTCCCCTGGAGACGCGGCAGCCCAACGGGCAGTAACGGTCGCGGTGTGAGGCATCGAGGGCAGGCTGCCGTCGGGGGCCCTGTGACAGGCAGCCTCGGGGTGATTTTCCTTCACCGTGGCGACAGGTCTTGTTTGATGTTGGCAAGTGAAGGCAGAGGGGATAAGCCGGCTTGGACGGACCTACCGGCGGCTCCCCGGGCGGCTGGCCGGTGTGTGAAGGGGCGGCCCGCTGCCCTCGGCAGCTGTTGAGGGACCGTCGGGGTCCGTCCCGTCCCTCCCCAGCGCTGCCCGTGGCCTTCCTGAAGTCCCCGAAAGATGGAAACTTTGTCTAAGCCCCAGGATTTTGGGCAATGCAGGGGTTGGGTCCGCCAAGGTCTGCTCTTTGTTTAGGCCTCAAGCCTGCAAATATTTGTCCGCATTCTGAAATTAAGAATTATCGATGCTCAAATGTGTTTGAAGTGCAGGAGACAATCTTCAAGTTACCTGGTAGAGAAGTATTTCCTGTGGCTTGTGCTTGTCAGTGTGTTTCCTTTAACTACCCTTAAGATAAGACCTTTTTTATGTAGTTGCATTTGGCTTCTTTTTTTAATTGGTGACTCTTACAACGTTCCCATTGACTGATGTTTTAAGTGTTATTGAAATAATATTTCATGCTTCACTGGTGCTTTGTTACAAAGGGCTTTTTAAAAGGTTGAAATAAAAGCCTGCTGCTGAAGAAAGTATTGTGTCTTATTCCCTGACTAGGAATAACTGAAGCACTTTAATTATATTTTAGTTATTACTGTTGTTTAGATCTTAGAGTGAAGCAAGTAGGTGCATATTTCAATTGCAGATAGTTATGTATGTGTTCTCTGAGAGGACAGCTAAACCTTTCCGCACTTACAAATACTGTAATGCACATTTAAGTTTGGTTTTTGTTGAGGAAATATGCTGTCTTAAGAAAAAGCTCATTACATATGCACTAATGGGATTAGACAAACAATTATTTTGAAAATGTTAAACCTTACCCTGTAGAATTTGCTTGCGAGTGGGACAAAAGCACTTATGGATCTGGTGGGTTAACTTTGTGAATACCTCTTTGCAAAGGAGTAAGGCTTATGTGAGGATTCCCAGAGCTGTTGAGAAATGTTTATTTATTCCTCATTTTAACACTTGTAGATTTTGAACATACGCATACTTGTTCTTATGGGTTGGCAAGTATTTCCAACAAAATGTTCCAGAAAGTCAATGAATAATGTTCCATATGTGCCTACCTGTTAAAAGGGCTGGGCTCCGAACCCTGAAGGTTTAATTATGTGTCTGTTAATACATGTAACAAATACAGCATATGTTTTTGTTTATTATTAGTAGGTTTGTGCAAAACAGATTTTTGGCTAAGGTGTTTAACAGAACAAGACTTAGTTATAAATCCAATATGTATGTGCTAGGAAATTTTATCAGTTGGGTTTGGCTGTAGGTAATGTATTTCAATCAGAAATAGTGATGATTTTTTTAGTAAGGAAGTTTTAAGCCCGTGTAAGGATGTAATACTAAAGGAAGTAAGCAGTAACAGGCAAACTGATTACTGAACTTTTACTGGGACAATTAAAATATGTGAAGTTTCTTAAGATCCCATGAGGACATGGCAGAGGAAAGGAGGGGTGATCTGACTGTGTGAAAAGTTTGGCTAGAATTCAAAAAAGAACATTTGGTTCAAGGACTACTTCAACACATAAGTATTGACATTGATATTTGGTGGTTCAATAAATCATGTCCAAAGTATTTTGTGGAGACAAGGAAAAAGAAAACTTGGTAGTTGTAATCTAGGAGACTTTAGTTGCTATGGGATATAGGGATTAAACTTTTTTTTTTTTTTTTAAGGTAAGTATGGAAAAATCTCTGTACTGTGAAGCCTATCATATTATGGATATTGGACTGTTAATTCAGTATAAAACTAGACTCAGTATGATGTCAGAAATATACTCTAGGAAATCTTATTAATGATAGCTTAAAAAAGAAAAATACTGAATGTATTTCTTTACAGTTTTCAGTGTTTCTAGGAAATTTCAAGTGGCATAAAACTTGTGAGGATTTTACTTTCAGCAGTATAACCTTTTGTAGTATCTTTCATATTAAGCATTTTAGAGTGGTTTTTGAAAGTGCTTTTATTCTTTGTATGGTTCTGTACCATATGTTTTGTATTTAATTCTCTGAATGACCACTGAAGTGCAGCCAACTTTGGGTGAATGTGGCAACTGTTAACTAGCGCTTAGCAACAGTGCACAATAATCAAGACGGGAAGTGAAGAAGAATACCATGTCTAATTGAAACTACAGGGGGCATTTAGGTAGGTAGGACGTAATTAACAAAACCTGGAGCTTGGACATGATATTAAGGCATCAGATCTTTACTCTTGTAAAAAGGATTGTGAAATCATTCATGTACAAAACACTTGAGCTTTTTAGTTTTATACCTCAAATGGACAGCCTCTTTGGGGCGTATGTATTTTGCCTACTCTTGCACAACCATTTCTCGCACATAATGTGGAACACACATTTTCCTTTGGTTCTCAAATTGAATCGTGAGAAGGAGGACTGTTGAGAAGACCGACAAATGAGTGAGTAATAAGCCTTGACATTTTGACAATGATGTCTTTTAGAGAATTAGTCCTGTGAACTAGAGTTCATTAGATACACTGATTAAGATATCTCTAATATTCTGAAACAGATTACAATAGCAGTCATAAAGGAACACTAATTTTTTACAATTAATGTGTTGTTTTCTCTAAGAATCATTGACTTTCCTCAAATTCTGTCTTGCCATGACATTCCTTTAAGTGTTGTGAAGTTTTGCTTGTAAGAATATTTGTTCAAAACACTTCTGCCTAATACAGGGGTTTGTTTGCTTGGTTTTTGTTGTTTGTTGTTCTTTTGGTTGGTTTTTTTTTTAATTTTTTTATTTTAAACCCTTATTATTTTGTTTCACACTGTGTTCCATGTGGAGATGCATTTTTGGACAAATTTCATGTTTTCTATATCCCAGATACATCTTGTTTCTAAGAACTCTGAGAATATCCTCAACAATGAAGAAAGAACTAATAAATGAATTTTCAGTGAGTTATTGCTGAATGACTCATTTACAACTCTGAGCATAGCAAGTGTAGTTCCTGCTAAGGGGTTTGAACTTGAAGGTAGCTAGTGAAGATGACTCAAAGCCAAGGAGCCATGCTCTGAAGGTGCTTATACTGGTGAACTGTTAAGTAGCATTAGGCTCTTAATATTTTAATAGAATAATTAAGGGGTTTGTAATTCAAAAGAAAGGAAAAAAAACACCCACAGAATATTTGTTAGAGGAACTTGCGGGTGACAGAAATTTGGAACAGTGTTTATTCACAATGGGAACAGCAAAATTTTATACACTGTTGTTGTTGGCTTGGAAGTATTGAATAGAAGCAACATCCTGGATCAATGGGCTGAGGCCAGTTGTATGAGGTTCAACAAGGCCAAGTGCCAGGTCCTGTGCTTCGGTCACAACAACCCCATGGAATGCTGCAGGCTTGGGGAAGAGTGGCTGGAAAGTTGCCTGATGGATCAGGACCTGGGGGTGTTGGTCAGCAGCTGGCTGAATATGAGCCAGCATGTGCCCAGGTGGCCAAGAAGGCCAACAGCATCCTGGTGTGTATCAGAAATAGCATAGCCAGAAGGGACAGAGCAGTGATGATCCCCCTGTTCTCAGCACTGGTGAGGCTGCACCTGGAATATTATGCTCAGTTCTGGGCTCCTCACTACAAGAGATACTGAGGTGCTGGAGGGGGTCCTGAGAAGGGCAACAAAGCTGTTGAAGGGTCTGGAGAATAAGTCTGATGAGGAATATCTGAGAGAACTGGGGCGTTTAGTCTGGAGAAGAGAAGGCTCCAGGCGGCCTTATTGCTCTCTATGACTACCTGAAAGGAGGT